TTATTTGAAAAAACAAGATGTCCGTCCTTGGGAACAAATATCCACGACCATTTTGATTATAAGATGAATGAAAGAAATTGTTTAAATAAAGAATCCTAGTCCCAAAATATTACAGTTGGATCCCAGACAGGCAGACAGTAGTGAAAGTAAGAAGTCTTGAGGTCTTAGTTGGTATTAACCTCACTTAATGTAATGTTAGGATCATGACAAGGACCCTTCACTCTGCTTGACATTGAACACTGGTAAATGTGTGGGTTATCAGGTTACTGGGGAGTGTGAGGGAACTGGGATTGTTTCTGTGTGAGGGGAGGGAGGGAGGGACAGTCATGAAGCCGATGCTGGACTTAGACTGAGTGTTGAGTGCTACGTGTGTAAGACTTCCTGAAGCACTCATGGGTTCCTACTGATTGGGTCATCCATGAGGTCAGATGCAGGTCAGTCTCAATGACCAGTCACTGGAACTACGGCCAGACATCCTGACAAACTGTCACTGCGTAAATGACGCAAACTGTGGATGTACGGGAACAGATACACTGAGCACATCATTTCTCTGTGTTAACGACATCAACTGTGGATGTACGAGAACTGTTACAGTGTAGGACATAATTTGTGACAATGTGGACTAAAGTGAAGGATTTTGGAAAATGTCTTGTCAAGATGGTGAGTTGTCATTCCACTCTATTACAGTAGAATCTGTTAAAACTAGACTCTGATTAATCTGGATTTCTATCAATTCCTCACCATGTGTTGTCCCAGATTTACTTTCTGTAAGGCAAATATTTCTTTTATGTTTTTTTATGACATGTCATTTATGATTTGAACTATCAGATTCAGTGTACTCAGGAATACACTCAGGAATACACTTTCAGTCCCACACAATGTGCATGAGTCCAGTTTAGACAGATTCCACTGTTTAATGTCACATGGTTGGACGAGGTACACATTTCCTTGAACCACAGTATGTTTTCCTTTCCCCTGCCCTTTCTTCAGTGCAAAAACTGTAAATATAGCAAATCTGGATATTTCCAAAGATTCAGGTATGTACCGTTCCCCAAAGTCATTGTAGCTCTATGACAGTCGTAAGTCTATGTGTTCGTACAGGAGTTATGATAGTACTACAGTGATAAGTTATAGGAACTTAGCTCTACGACAGTCGTACGTCTATGTGATCGTACAGGAGTTATGATAGTACTACAGTGGTAAGTTATATGAGAACTTAGCTCTACGAGTCTCACGACAGTCTATGTGATCGTACAGGAGTTATAATAGTACTACAGTGAATGTGGGGCCCAGAATCTTCCAGCTCACATGGATTCCTTTTCAGTTTAAATGGAATTATTTGGTTCAAAATTATATATTTTCGAGCGACTAAGTGTTAGTCTATTGTGGAGAGCCTGACATTGATTAACGATATCTTGTGAGGAGCTTCAGTTGTTGTACCTCCCTCATTACTGCTGAGTCGGGATGTTGCATGTGTCTTCAGTAGCTTTAAGTATTCTCGTGTAGACCTGGACACCAAGATAGATTGTTTTACAAGTTGCCAAGACCATTAATCAAAAGTTGAAACATCTGAATCTGGATGAGATCAGAGAAATAAACATGGCCGTCAGTGTTGACTGGAGCTGCCTGGTCAATATCATGTGGTGGGTAATTCTTCATCGGACTTGTAAATAATCCTGTATGCCTTCTATCTCATCTGTCTGGTTATTATAAACAATGGTTCAGCATTAAAGACATGATAGCACAATAAAATAAACCCAACACTAACTGTCTTGACAAGTCCTCTTCATTATTGGCTTGTGTTGTTTAAGAGATTGCTATATTTGACAGCTTCAGCAGCTGATACTGAACCACTATAACTTGATAAGAAGAACAGATGAGCCACACTCTGACTGATTCCAGGAGAGTATTTTACATAGCTGAAATATTCCATCTCGGTCTGTTGAATACCTGTGAAGATCTGAGTTAGGACTGGTCTTCAGTAACCCATGCTAGTCGTAAAAGACAACTGAAGGGATCGGCAGGTCAGGCCTGCTGACTTGGTTTACACATGTCATCATATCCCAGTTGTGTAGATTGATGGTCATGCTGTTGATCACTGGTTTGTTTGGGCCAGACTTGATTATTTACAGACTGCCGCCAAATAGCTGTAATTTCATTGAGTGCGGCGTTAAATAACAAACCATCCAACCAATGGTCTGTTGAAACTACTACATTATCATATGTTCAACGTGTATATAACATGTATTGTCTAAAGTTTTATGTACACTGATACTGAGATCAGTGTATCCAAGCATTCATCTATGCAGAGGGAAGGGGTGACATGGATCAAACATTGCAGTTCACTGTGAAGAGGTGTGTCCTTTCCCTGCACCAGATCTCAGATTGGAATCTCAGTTTGTCACCATAGCCCTGCTTGACTTTGCAGAGCTATAAATATTTAGGAAATCGTGATGTGTTAGAAATGAAGCTCTAATCAGCAATTCATCAAGACATTTTGGAAACAAGTCATTCTCAGTTTTAATGAAAGTGGAGTATTACCAAAGCGAGGAAACATCTTAGACCTTTCCATTAACACCACTACTAGGCACTAGACGTGCATTTATAGAACATGAATACTGGGCAAGCAGTTGCACTCACTCACTCACTCACTCACTCCTCACTCACTCCTCACTCCTCCTCTCCTCCTCACTCACCTCCTCACTCACTCCTCCTCCTCCACTCACTCACTCCTCACTCTCACTCACTCCTCACTCACTCCTCACTCACTCACTCAGTGTATTTACAAGTGTATCCCCTGCCAGTACAGCCATCAATCTTGGTGTCCCTGTGTGTGTGTGTGCCCAATGTGACCTTCTGTGAGTGCAGTCAGTTGTCCGGTGGAAGAGATAACAGCATGGGAAACTGTGGGATTGAGGGATGTGTCTGTGTGGGAGTAACCTACGGATGTTGTCAATATGTAATCACACTGAGCTCCTGGACAGGAAAGCACATTTGTCATCCCAGTAACATAGTGATAATATCACAGACTCTGAATAAGGATGACATCAAGGTGTCTTGACTTATTCCTGACATAGTGATAATATCACAGACTCTGAATAAGGATGACATCAAGGTATCTTGACTTATCCCTGACATAGTGATAATATCAAGGTGTCTGAATTGACTTATCCCTGACATGTTCTGAGGAGTGTATCATGAAGGTAGAAGGTGTCTTGACTTATCCCTGACATGTTCTGAGGAGTGTATGATGAAGGTAGAAGGTGTCTTGACTTATCCCTCACATGTTCCGAGGAGTGTATGATGAAGGTAGAAGGTGTCTTGACTTATCCCTCACATGTTCCGAAGGTACACTGCCAGATGAAGGTAGAAGTCTCTAAGACTCCCCAACTGACAAGTTCTGTTTGGAGTGCAAATGTTTCTCATCAAAATAATACTGGAAGAAAGTAATTTTGATTTTGATTAACATCTGCTCATGAGACGATGAGTGTGATAAAGAGATCCTGCCTCTAACAAAAGTCTCTCACGTTCTCTCAAACCCTTAGGTCTGTCTCCCAGCCCGTCATCCCTTCTGCCCAGCCCTTTCTGTAATACTGATTACCAGAGTGTCTAGGCTTCCTCAGGTTCTGAATCTCCCATCTCTCTAGTGGCTCTTTTTTCAATTTAGGTTGCGGGTTTCGATCCCCGACCGCGTCATACCAAAAGACGTCAGAATATGGTACTTGTTGGTCCCTGCCTGGCCCTCTGCATTAATGGGTACAACAAGGACTGGTCGTCTTGGAGTCAGTATAATGTGTCTGAGTGGGGTATTCATGCTTCACTGCGGCATGGTATCTCAGTGGGCCAACACTATAAAACCAGCTAAATTCTTGGCTAGTTCAAGCAGCCGCTCATACAGATACACACGCATTAACGTCGTCATATGAGCTCTGGTATTCTCAAGCACGTGATGTTGTGGAATATTGCTTCACCTCACCTCATGTTCTGAATCGCCCATCAGTCAATCTGTCAGGAAGTCAGTCAGTCTATATATTCCGAGTCAAGTTAGTGCACTCAAAGCCCTAGATGGCTAGTTATGATACTTTCAGTAAATGTCCATGATAGTAGGACAATAGACAATGAAGGCGGCAAGGGAATGGTCGACTCAGTCTACCAGTGTATTATGTCATATAGCAGTATGTGGACTATTTTGGGGGAGACAAGTGCACTTTGGGGTCAATCTTGAACCAAAATAGATGTGTCACCCACTCAGTGTGAGTGTCATGGCGTCAGTGCGGTATACAACCAGGGAGTGTAGGAACTCGGGGAAACACTGTACCCTCCGTCTTCCGCTACTCCAGATCACAGCATCTTCATTCCTGTTGGCAGGACACATTGTCAAGTCCTGAGTGGTGGATGTAGATACAGGTGATAGTCATCTCTCCACATCACCCTCCACATGAGTGGAGATATATCTACACACAGTCCAACCTTGATGGCTAGCTCAGGAGGTGCTGTTAATGGGGACATTATTCTCTCTCATCTTTCTGTAGGCACTATGATTCACAAATGGAGACAACAGAGTTGACTAATACAGAGATCTGACAGTCCTGATGGATGCTGTCAGCAGTGAGTCTGTTGTTTAACTCCAGACTCAGCAGAACAGACCAGAAAATCTAGTAACTGCAGATATAAGTAAATTCTGTTGTCCCATGCTGTGCTGCCTAAGTTATTGTAAAACTATTGATTCATTCACTGGACCACTCATCAATACAATGTGTGGCCCATTTCTTGCCGTGATATAACTGCAGTAATGCTGGTGGTGTAAAACTTGATTAATTCACCCTCACTCACTCACTCTCACTCACTCACTCACTCACTCACTCAGGCACACATATACGCGCAAGCAAAGACAATTGGGGTGTGAATCTCACCCAGGTCCTTCACAAGTCCATGTGTGAAGCTCATTCATGGTGTCCCCTGCCGTGATGTTAATGGAATATTGCTAAAAGCAGCATAAAATCAAACTCACTCACTCACTCACTCACTCACTCACTCACACACACACTCGCGCAAAGACAATCTGAATCTCACCCAGGTCCTTCACAAGTCCATGTGTGAAGCTCACCTGGTGTCACTGCCTCTGGAATATTGCTAAAAGCTCATAAAATCTCACTCACTCACACTCACTCACTCTCACTCACTCACTCACTCCCTGTTGTGTGATAATTAAGGTCCTAACATATAAAAACTTAATCTGGAGATATAATGAATTTGATGCGGCAACTTAACAGAATAGTTACTTTTTCTAGACAATTCTTTCACTTACGAAAACTATATTGAGCACAATCATGACAATTTTATCAGTGCATAACATGTTTTTTTCCAAATGTTTTTGTGGTAAGAACCACAAGGAACAGAACCCAGTGAGTCACTGAGTGGCAGTGATGTATGGTCAGTGTGTCTGGCATGTAAGGTCGTGTCCACACAGAGCGGCACTGTGTGGCATGTATGGTCCAGTGTGTCCACACAGAGCAGCACTGTGTGGCATGTATAGTCCAGTCTGTCCACACAGAGCGCCCTGTCAACCAGAAGGGAGTCTACACTGTAACTCTCACTGATAAACCTCCTGGTGATATAAACAGTCCCAGATCCCGCCCCCTGCATTTACTGTAAGCCTGCATGAAGTGAAGCTCAGGCAGTGTCAAATAATTACTTTAGAATTCTGTTTTCAATTTGTAGTGTCATCAATCATGGCTTGCGGTGAGAGATTTATGAAGTTCCACCCAATTAGCATTCCACACTGATCTTCCCCATTGCAAGGCAGCCATGGTCATTTGTCAGCGTTTTGTTAAACATTGTCAGTTGAGCTCTCTGGAGCTGGGTGCACCTCCACAGAATACTGTACCGTACTGAGTCCCAGAATACAGCCAGTGCTGTACTGAGTCCCAGAATACAGCCAGTTCTGTTCTGAGTCTCAGAATACAGCCAGTGCTGTACTGAGTCCCAGAATACAGCCAGTGCTGTACTGAGTCCCGGAATACAGCCAGTGCTGTACTGAGTCCCAGAATACAGCCAGTGCTGTACTGAGTCCCGGAATGCAGCCAGTGCTGTACTGAGTCCCGGAATGCAGCCAGTGCTGTACTGAGTCCCAGAATGCAGCCAGTGCTGTACTGAATCCCTGAATACAGCCAATGCTGTACTGAGTCCCGGAATACAGCCAGTGCTGTACTGAGTCCCGGAATGCAGCCAGTGCTGTACTGAGTCCCAGAATGCAGCCAGTGCTGTACTGAATCCCGGAATACAGCCAATGCTGTACTGAGTCCCGGAATACAGCCAGTGCTGTACTGAGTCCCGGAATGCAGCCAGTGCTGTACTGAGTCCCGGAATACAGCCAGTGCCTTACTGAGTCCCGGAATACAGCCAGTTACCATACTCAGTCGCAAAATACAGCAAGTTCCTCTCTCAGTCCCAGAAAACCAAGGCACAGTAATAGAACTATTTTTATAGTATTAGGCTCTATTCGTACGTACGAATTGGAATATCTTAAGAACCATTCTCTAGATTCATTTCATATTTGGTACCTAGTTTCATCCCAGTATAAGAAAGGTCCAACTCAGGTTTGGTGACCTTGACCTTCATTTCAAGGTCACAAGGGGACTTTAATGTTTTACCTGCATGTTAAGCTATATCAAGTAACCGTTCACTGGATTTTCTTCATATTCAGTACCAAGCTTTATCTAGGGAAGGCGCAGGGCCCATTCAATTTTGGTGACCTTCACTTAATTTTCAAGGTCACAGAGACACTTTGAAGATTTCAGCATATTAACCTACATGTTATGCTTGTCAGCGAGATACTTCAAGAACCATTCACTGGATTTTCTTCATGTTTGACACCAAGCTTCATCTAAGGAAGACCCAGCGCCCAGTCAATGTCACCTTCACATAATGTTTAGGGTCACGGCAACACTTTGAAGATTTCAGCATGTAAACCTGAATTGTCAGCAAGATATTTTAAGAACGGTTCACTGGATTTTCTCCATAGTCTTTTGAGACTTCTCGTGAATGTTTTTCAATAAGCAATTTCTTTAGTACTAGTTTTGCATATTTCATACACTATGACATTCATGTCAAGGTCAAAGTCAGTCTTGAAAATATGTGTGTGTTTGAACAACTAAAGAGTCAGATATCAAGAGAGGTTGATTAGTCATGTTTTTGTTGACATTTAACTTCATCTTAAACTTTCATTACGTTATATTTGATTTGATAATTTGCGGCGGGGGATTATGTCACCTGAGTGACAATGCTTGTTATGATTTGTGATCGATGATGAAATCTCACAAACATTCTGAACAAACTCTGCTACAAACAAAGAAATTTAGCATTCACTCACTCACTCACTCGCAACCTCACATACATACATGCTCAGTCATAGATAGATCCAGTTCTTTGTGCAAGAAACTTGAAAGTAATAATTTTAGTATGTTACTATAACAGCTACTGAAGACAAGAGTGTACCATCATGCTGTCATCAAATATTCCTGTGTTCCATTAATTTCATGGGTACAATGTGTGAAGCCCATTTCTGGTGTCCCCCACCGTGATGTTGCTGGAATATTGCTAAAAGCGGGATAAAACCAAACTCAGTCAGTCAGTCCTTTAATTTCAAACTTGATCAGGAAATATGACATGTCTTTGACATTGTTGACAGTGACATCTATCAACAGTCCCTCAGTGCAGAGAGACATTTCTTGGTTGACTCTGGCAAATCAGAACCTGTTCTACAACTTGAATTCTGACTCCATTGTCTGACTCTAATATGAACTCAGTTTAACTCAAGGCAATAATCAGCAATAATCCCCAGGAAGAGAGCTATTCCAGAAGAGCCAGGTCCTCCTCAGATTGACTGTGCCACACATTAGACACAACACATGGCACCTCCTGACATCGGAGATAACTGGAGGTGTAGCGATGACAGCACAGACATTGATGTGGCAGGAAGTTCCAGATTGTCTGTAGATACACAGGAGGATCCACAGGTGTGGGCTGGTGATGCTCACCCTGATTTTAGAAGCATTAACATTGAAAGGTGGTGATGCATCAGTCTGTATTCAATCCAGTCTGGAACAGCCAATCCAGTGATTCACACTATTAGCATTATAAAAGCATGCTTAACATTGATATATGCTGACATTGACAATCCAGTGGCTGACTGTATGAACATTGACCCATGCAACTGGGATACAATGTCTTGCAGTCAACCAAATCACCATTCTGTTGTCTTTTATGACAAGACATATAGTCTTACCTAATATCCCGCAAGTTTGCTATCCCCCGCAACAACGAAGTTGTGGGGATGCTCACACGTGTCAACCATGATCCCTAAATGTGCCTTAGACCCAGATGCGAATTTTATTTTTTGCGGTTTCCGTGACTTAGGCTGTGACTATGAGGATGTCATCTTGTCCGGAGCAGATCTCCCAAACCATACTTGCTAGCTTCATCATACTTGGTACATATGACAAGCATGATACCTAGATGAGCCTTTTGGGGGTTAGACCCAGATATGAATTATATTTTTTGTTGTTTCCATGAAAACACGATTTATGCTGTGACTATGAGGATGTCATGTTGTTGCATTTGCATGGCAACAAGTTAGGCTTCAACTGAATTTGGTGATAGTGCTCCTTTCTGGAGCAGATCTCAAAAACCTTTCAATACTCTCCTTCCACTTTGCTGTATACATTCCCAAACATAACTAGCAGACATATTCATAAATAGTATTTTGCCTTTTGGTGGGGGGGGGATATTGATGACTTTGTCTTCTTGTTATATTTGAAGTACAGCAATGGACATGTATTTCTGAGAGTAAATGTCGTTCAAAGTGAAACACATCAACTAAAATATGTGCTTGTTTTCAACAAAAATACCTGACAAACACAATTGAACTAAAGCACTGTTTGTATTTATTTAGTGCTTGTGAAACAATATGTACCAGACCTTTTCTGAAAAATCATGGACCGGTGGTTTTTAAACTGTAACTCCCAATAATGGTCACTCCTGCGATGGCTCTCTTACTAGGGCATAAACTCTCTTACTAGGGCATATACTCTCTTACTAGAGCATATACGGTACCCTGATGTTAATGCGACTCGGCATACATAAAAAAACTGATAACAGTTTTGTCCTGGACAACTGCCATTATTTATTGGTGAGACAAAGAATACATACGGCTGACTAGAAGCAGGGTCTGTGTTTAATGGAGAATAAATCTAACCTTCAAGAAACAGCAAGATAAAAGATAGGTCAATGATGGCAGCGGACCAGTCAAAGAGTGGCGTTTAAAGTATGTTTATGTATGTCAAGGGTCGTAATCACTACAACCTGGGAAAAAATCATCCCACATGTTGGATGGAGATAAGATTCTGACATAAAACATCGGTGGGGTAAGTGGGCCTCTTCCAGAGACTGACCACCTGTTGATGTGGAGAGATTGGAGAGGGTTGTCCGGGACTGAGATAAGTCTCCTAACCTCTGGCAAATGTTGGACCATGTTCACAGACAGGATACTTGTAACAACCTGCTGGTCTTGTCAAGTCTTCCAATGTGTTTGTAGTTTGTCTCAGACTGCAGCTTCATCACAGGCAGTCTGGAAATAATCAGAGTCAGACAAACCAGTCTTCAACATGAAGCAGGCATCAAGTGAACCTTGTCATAGCTCTGATGCTAGTCTGTCTCACAGTCCCTGAACAACAGTATTTTCCCTTCTGCCTAGAGACCGCCTCTGTGGTTAGTGGTTAGAGCGTCCCGGAGAGCGGAAGGTCGTGGGTTCGATCCCAAACCGCGTCATACCAAAAGGCGTTAAAATATGGTACTTGTTGGTCCCTGTCTAGCGCTCGGCATTAATGGGTACAACAAGGACAGGTCAGCTTGGAGTCGGTATAATGTGTCTGAGTGGGGTATTCATGCTTCACTGCGGCATGGTATCTCAGTGGCCTAGCACTATAAAACCAGCTTCAGTCTGGGCTAGTACAAGCAGCTGCAGATACACATAGTGACATACACACACATGCACGTCGTCGTATGAGCAAAATATTCTCAAGCACGAAGTTAACCCAATTTCACCTCACCTGACCTGCCTTCTGCCTAGCCTCACCTGCCTTCTGCCTAGCCCCACCTGCCTTGTGCCTAGCCCCGCCTCCCTTCTGCCTGGCCCCACCTGCCTTCTGCCTAGCCCCACCTCCCTTCTGCCTAGCCCCGCCTGCCTTCTGCCTAGCCCCACCTGCCTTCTGCCTAGCCCCACCTGCCTTCTGCCTAGCCCCACCCCCAATGCTGAAGCCCAAATGTCCTCAGGTTCAGGTTCTGAATCTCTCTTTTCACTGGGGCTACTTTTCAATTAAAAAGGAATTGTTTGCTTCTGTCAAAGTGACATATGTTCAGAGTCTAATGGTGTGTCTACTCTGATGTTAATATTTGGATATAATGGAGGTCCCTACTTTCAAATGCTATAAAATATTTGTGAAGCCATTCCTGTCAAATGCTACAAATTCTTGGTTCATTTCAAAACCAAGCATCCATGTCCTCAATGTAAGATCGCACATGCAGGTGACCGAGGCACACTACCCATTTCTTAGTCAGGCCAAATAAAAAAGAGGTTGTGGTTCCGATTACACTTCTTCAAAAATTAGGGTAGGTAGGTAGGAATTATTTTTTTTACTTATTTTTTTAGAAGGAAAGTACAAACTAATAACACATGTATCAATGTGTAATTGTTCATTCAATCAAGCTTGCGGCCATCATATCGAATTTCTCTATCAGAATGACCGATATCTGTCTGTGCCGGTGAAAAAACAATGGTATCTGAAAGCTTATTTTATTCAGTCCGCTTAAAACAAATAGGGTTCTTACCAGAATTCAATTTCAAGAGTCAGTCGGGTAATCGGAAACACAACCTGTTTTTTATGCCTCACCTCCACTGACTGTAGGTGGCTGGAAGAACATACTGAGCCAGGACCCATGTCTTTCAGGTTTTAGTTTCATATCCACTTATTGTGTTGTCAAATCCGTGTGATTTCCTGGTGCTGTCCTAGGTGTGAAACTGAGTACCGGACTCTCGTTCCCTTTTCTTGTGAAACATCCTTTGAAAGGTACTATGGCTTTGAACTTTTGACGGGCCCTGTTCCATAAAGCAAGTGAAGTCTACACATCTTATCAATCTTAACTCCCTGGGGAGTATACAACTCGTGCTGCCACAAGGTGCACCGAGTTATGCAGCTTTCCCATCCTTACGAGGTACCCATTTACAGCTGGGTGGACTGGGACACATAGTCACAGTACTTTGTCCAAGTTTACTGCACGTTGCTGTACCCGCAACTAGGTGTTTGCACATGTTCATGTGGCCACCATCTGGTCAAATACCAACGTATTCTTGGGTTCTTTTAAGTGCACAGGGTTTGTGTACTGTACATTAGGGGTTGTGACAACACTGAAAGACACAAAGTTGACTCCAAGGTTTTTGACACCTGGTCACAGATGGGCTTGATCCCGACACCTCATGCCCGCTGGATCACTAGCCAGCACCCCACCACACCCCACAAGAGAGTGTATGTGGATTCAAGGACATTAGTGTTAACAATTTCTTACATTTTCAGCATTTACCAGGGTGCTGTTGTACCATACCACCTTAGCACTACCACTGTCATAAATCTGTGGTATGGTATAGGAGTTCTGATCACCTTAGGGTAGCCTTGCTCCAAGGCTGTACCGAATGCTAAACCCATGGGTGTATGATAATTCTTTCCTTTAAAGAGGCAAGATTAATATGTTTTTTTTAGTTACCATTTAAACAACTGCAACCCAGGTCCCTTGGCTTCATGTTTAATTTAAACACTGCATATTGAGATACAGTGAGACAGAATGTGATACAGTGAGATTGAATGACTGCAATATCCCCGTGAAATGTTAAAAATGAACTTTTTACTTAGGGCACAACTTGAAAGCTTTTAGCTTAAAGAGAGTAAGGGTTCTGATAAGAGGTTATGTTTAAACCTTGTCTATATCTGCAGAAGACATTCCTCAGGTGTACATAACTAGCTGGTGTGGAATGAGACGTAAACAGCTGGGGGGTTTCAACCGCCAGGAGTTCCCCCGCCCCAGTCAATGTCAGACAATCTCATGTCAACTTGTACATTCCTTGGAAGCTGAGTTAAATGTTAACTTCTTCACTTTACTTTTCAAACATGTGATTGTTTATCTTGTTTATTTCCTATTTGTTGAAATGTCTGCCAATATGTTGATGTGTGGAAGTCATTAGTTGTGATGGGTAAGTTGTGAGGTGTATAACATGTTGACTTCCACGCCTCATCTGAGACACGTGTAACGCAGGATGAGAGTTGCACGGCCAAGTCGCAGGGAAGATGGACTTCACAGATAAAAACAACACTTCAACGATTTTCTACAACGAAATGAGAAAAATATTACTTGTTCACTTTTCATCACATATGACTTAACACGTTGAAAATAACATACTTAAATGTTTAATTACTTGACGGGAGGATTGGGCAGATGTATGAGTTGGTGAGCAGCTGGGGGTAATTGCCGTCTTCTGATGGGGGGAAACTCCCTAGAGTGCACTTCCAGGCTGCATCTCGTCTGTGTCTTGACTTACTCCACCAGGTTAAGTTCTGGTCGGCCAGGAGACTTGTGTCAATGTGTTCAAGAGGCAGCAGAGTGTGTTCCCACTAACCCACTTCCCTACTCCACACCTCATTGGGCTTGTAGGGTCACCTAGTTGAATGGTGTGGTTAGTTGTAGGGTTTCATCTGGCACTCTGATATCTGTTGTGTTGGAAAATAGTTTTGAAGAGAAGTCTCACTTAAGATTGTCAGGGTTCGAAATACCCCATATATTAGTGTGCCATGGCATAATAAATATTGAAATGGCATGACTGAAAAATGTTCTCTATGTCCTTTTGACACGCCTAATTTTCTAGAGACATAACTCACATTTAGTCATTTAATCCCCCAAACAATTATATTTTTTCCAAATTGAATAATACCATACATATCTAAATGCTCATAAACCCATTTCTTTATTTAACAATAAATTTCAAATTTTCATCATCATTGTCATTTATTCTAAAAACATGTTGGCATACTCAATTTCTGAAAGGCACACCTAAAATATTTGTCTGGTGCCCTAAGGCACACTTAAAAAGAAAAGTATTTCTATCCCTGATTGTGGTTTAGAATAGGTCATTGCAAACATCCGTAAAAGATTGTTTGATCAGCATTCTTGTAGTTTGTGAGTCAACAATAAGCATACGACTCTATGGATGCCAACTTGTTGTTTATTGCATAGAGTGAAGTTTCACTGTAGATTCTTACAACATTAATAAGAAGAAAGGTACATTATTGGATGGGGCCAGGTGGGGCGCAAGAACAACAAATAAGCCGTGAAAGGTGACCTAAACTTTGTGAGGGTACGTGTCTTGCTTGTCATCACACTGTAATACTTTGTGTAAAGTGGCAATGTTTGTAATTTCTTTTTTTAAAGTCCGTGATATTTTGTTGGGGTGTTAAAATTAATTCGGGAGAATAGTGAGCAATACGGTCATTATCAATAATATTTTTTCAAAATGAACTTGGAAATATCAGTTGGGTGTTTCCAGTGCTGATTGGTCAGTGTGCTGGTACAATCAGACAAGGAGCGATGGACTGGAGGCCTGCAGTGGCCACTGTGGCGAATATATTACATCATGAATATTGGGTAGTGAATACGAAGATTGAGTAGTGAATATGAAGATTGGGTAATGAATACAATAACATGTCGGCTGGTGATGTATTATTCATTATATCCAGTGAAACAACATAATTCTTTGACATATTATAACCATGTTGACGGGGTTAATTCATCATGCGAATGACCAGTAACCACATCACTGTCATTTGAATATATGTGAACTTTAACTATTATCTTGCCTGATGTGGACATTCTATTTTTCAAATCGTGCATTGATAAATAACACCCAAATTCAAGTAAGACCACTCCATTTTAAGAAAAATCATGAATATTCTATTATAGTGATCGAGAATATGAAATTGAATTCATGAAGGGATACAGTTAGATTCACTGAATATATGATCCAATTGTAACAGCTGCAATGAGATATTTTTTTTGCCTGCTTCGATACACAAGACACCTAGGTGTGTGATGATCATGAATGTGTTTGAAACAGTGGTTGTTCTGGGATATCATCATCAAATAACCAGGTCCTGTCAGCATGGGCTACTGTGCTCGGTGTGTGTACATGTTGGAGAAACTCAATCAAGTGTCAGTTTTTGACAGCAGCAATCAGTGGAAGTCATTTCAATAGAGTGGCAGGTTTGTTGTTCAGCTACTTGTAACAAAGTTCCACTTCCTGTTTAACAGGAAGTGCATCCTCTATGCAGAGATGCATATCTATCTGTCAGTGATTGTGTGAAATAAACCCCTGACACAGTCCCATGTTTTAGTCCCATGTATCTCAGACCCTAACACTATGGTATTGTCACTTCCCTCCAGCCCTTTCAGCAGAGCAAAAGCCCCAAATGAAGCAAGACTTGATTTCATCAGGTTCTGAACCTGCCCGCTCACTGGGTCCATTTTACAAGTTATTGGAAGGACTGGATGTAATCAATATTATGTATTTTCAGAGAGTCAGTGAGTGAGTGAGTGAGTGAGTGAGTTGAGTTTCATGCCGCTATTAGCAGAATTCCAGCAATACCACAGCAGGGGACACCAGATATGGCCTTCACATATTGTACCCATGTGGGGAATTGAAACCATGTCTCTGGCGTGACTAGCCAACGTTTTAACCGCTAGGCTACCTAACCACCCCTTTCCCAGAGAGGAAGTAGTAGTCTATCCCATGTCAGTTTGTTGATTACTGCGGGGCCTGTAGCTAATAAGGTGACAGACAGGCTGGCTGCTATAGAGGCAGTGGTGTTCACATGAGGTTGTCACATTCACACATCATCAAAATACAGGAAGTTTTCCCATTGCTACATGCAGAGACTACCCTTCTGAAGCTGATGTGAAGTATGGCATGTGTGATGGTCTTGGAGAGTCCAAACTGTCCATCAACCACAGTTAAACAAACACACGAAAAATTTAGTGCCGCTCCTGATGGCTGCTTATAGGATGGGCTTCTCACTGCCGATCATTCCTCTCTATACCCTGTCTGTGAGATGAGATTACCATGTGTGAAAATGTTATCTTTTTTGTGACTTCATGACCATTTAGTCTCTGAAAGGACTTCATTTAACGAGTCTGGAATATTCTTGTATATAATTACTTCTCGACATAGCAGACAGTTGTGTTGAATGTGTATAACTGCATCTGCTCGGCAGGCTCACCTGAGGTAAAATCAAGAGTATTAGAGACCTTGTGGTCCAGAGAACAGTACGCCTGAAGATAATACATTCGTAGATCTGTAAATTCAAACTTTCAGGTAGTTCAATACATGAACAAGTGCTTGCATTTAGCTGTAAATCTTCTTTGAGTTTAGTTTTCATATTTTGCTGCATGTTTGGCAGGAAATGGAAAAGGCAGGGGCCATTGGGCCATTTTGCACATTAGAATAAAAATGGCCCATGAAAATTTTGAACTTTACAATGTGCAATGGCCATACTAAATTCAAAAAAATGGCTAATTATCCTGAAAATGTCCCCTTTGCAAAGTTCTCTATCCCAGTCCCTGGTTTGGTATTATCAGAAGACAATTAGTGAGAAAGCAAGTGTCAAGTCTGAAGCTAACAATTTCAATTGTAGTTTAGAGATAGACATTTATTGTCTGAGCTTACGAGACTGAATAGAATATTCCTGCATATGGGGCCAGTGGACTCATGGCTAAATTGGCAGACATTTGCCATGCTGAGTTTAAGGCTCCATGTTTATGATGTTGTGAACGAGCCCGAGCTGCCCAATTTCCTACCAGGAGTAACACATAATATGGCAATCTGAAGTTTATATGGAATATCATTTATCAGCTGACAAGTACTTAAGTTGAGTGATGTGGAGATGCTTGTATCTGTAAGTGTTTGTTTGAAACTGTCTCATGTTTCATGTCTCATGCTAACTTTTGGAGACATGAGTATGCTCCTCTGTGACTGTTTCTTGTTTTTGAGATCTATATCACAGGGATGGATTAACCAAGAATGTCTACTTGTCCAAAATGACTTTACACATACCAGTGGCCCCCCCTCACAAAATGTTCTGCAAGACCTGTTCATGTGTATGAGATTTATGTTTGTGTTTCAGCAAGACCTGACCTTGTGTTTGACATTTACGTTTGTGTTTCAGCATGACCTGACCTTGTGTTTCAGATTTACGAGTGTTTCAGCAAGAACAATACTCTTGCTTGTCATTTACATTTGTATTTCAGCAAGACCTATCCTTGTGTTTCAGATTTACGTTTGTGTTTGACAATTGGGTCATTTTCAAAATTGGTAGGATTTTCTGTCCGTTCCAAATAAAAAAAAAATCTGTTAACTTAAAAGGATTTTTTTGTGCTAGAAAACATATTTAGAAGTTTACTAGTCAGGAAATGTGGTATATCATTAGTCTTATCATTTTGAAGTTTATATTTAGCCACATTTTAGGGTCAAAATTGGCAGATTTGCTCTGTCCGGAGGTGACGGTCCTGATATCAATGTTCACAAATAATGTAAACATAAATGCAAATAAACAAACTAATTCATATTATGCCATTTAGGATTGAACAGGCATACTCAAACTGCATTTATTTATTTTTTTAACTTAAAAAGTTTTTTTCTACAAATTGTAACATGCTTGTCCTGTCATTTTGTGTCCTGACCGTTACCAGTGTATGAAATTCCTGCAATAATTTCCCCCTGGAGCTGGATTGTAATTCTACTACCTGTGTCTGCTTGAGCTAGTCCCTGTGGATGTGACAGCAAAAGAAATAATGACATTATTTCACATTTTGCAGAAAATTGACACCATCAAATAAGTATAAATGTTATGTGTCAACCTTAATTGTCCAGACCGTTACCAATGTATTTTGTGTCAAATATATATCTTTGTTTTTTACATTTCAATGGATATGTTGCCCACAAATGGAAGAGGTGGAAGGCATGTCCTTTGAAATCTTTTAGGGATCATTCATTTTTTTATTTTAGATTTACTTACAAATTGTCTTGACCGTTACTGTCCAAACCGTTACCATTCTGCAAAAGTAGCGGTTTGGACATCCTAACGATTAGGGACAAAATGATTTGTATTTCAAAAAGTTGTTCATTACTATTTGAAATATAACAAATTTATAATTACTTTAACGGTTAAGATAAGTTTAAGCATGGAATTTTACTGTTCAAAGGAGTTTTGATGTAGTAGCATAAAAAACACAGTCTCTAGTAACGGTTTGGACAAATAATAGTAACGGTCTGGACATATCTTTAATAAATTTTAATTTTAAAGAATATGTTCCATGGTGTGGTAATAATTTTTTATTTACTTATCTATCTGCTTTAAATAATAACAACCAAAACGAATTTATCACCTTAAGTTTCTATTTTCTATAAGATCTATAGTCTTTATAAATTAAGGGTAACGGTTAGGACATCTATGGGTACAGTATTCCAACCTTTAAAGATTTTTTGGGTGTAAACTGTTTTAACTTTAACTGTGAGATATGTAAGATTACCATTTACTTTGAATATTTGCTAGGTGCTAATATGTTGGCCAAACCTTTGTATTTCATAAATATGTGTTACCATCTCACGATTAACAAAAAGTAAAGGTATCCGAGTGAATGAAAGAAGGATATTTCGTGGAGACTAATATTGCACCATAATATCAACAGCAAAATGACATCTATTCAGTGGCCTGTGTAGCATGACCATGTGTACAGTATCATAGTTGTTGCAGTACCTTTCAGAATTTAATCTTTTGGATCTTTTTAGAGGGATAACATTTGTTTGTTACACTGATGTCCTGACCGTTACTAATAATGTCACAATCGTTACTATTCATTCAATTTTCGTTCCCCAATTGCACTCTTCTTTAGATTATAAGTGATTTTCAACCTAGACAGGTGTGTTTTTCTATTCTTTAGAAGCTACAGTTTGTTTTTATTCAAAAGCCTAAATTCATTCACAAGTTTCATATTGATATAACAAATGTCCAAACCGTTACCACAGCATGGAAGAAAACATGTCACATTTGTTACAAGTTAAAATTTCTAATACACATTTCACTGTCTGTCCAAAATAGGGTTAGCAGTTGAAGTAAATAATATAATTTTTTCCTTTCATGTTACCTGTTTCTATGTTGAATTAAATTGTTTAAGGTTTATGTCCAGCCCGTTACCATTCCTGTCCAAACCGTTACCACTATTGTCCTAACCGTTACTGCTGTTAATTGACTGCTCTAATTAATTCATGATAATACATGAAACACTTCTCTTTATACTGGTGTCATCTAAAGATGTCCTGGGCTTAGTAGCTGATGTTATTTTTAGACAATATTACCTGCGGAAAGCTATATGCACAATAATGTTTTAGAAAAATGCAATGATTTTGTGGTAAATATATGAAAGATACAAAATAACACTTTCAAAAATAATGATAATAGTTTTTACCTTCAAGTTTGATTAAGTCGGTGTAAAAGCTGTGTCTGCCATCTTTAAAAGATTTTTATGAATTATATTTTAAAATCCTTATTCTGATTAAGAAGTGGTAACGGTCAGGACTTTCCCTCACCCTATTAATTACTTATGTATCAATTAAAAGGCCAATTAGTAAATTTGAGCCTGGATGTTTGTATTATTGAATAATTAAGTATTTGAGATTTCATTTGAATAAAACCTAAATCAATTTCCATGAGTTTGATTTTACTGTAATAAAGAATTGAAAATCCTACCAATTTTGAAAATGACCCAATTACATTTGTGTTTCTGTCTTTTTGTTTGACATTTATGTTTGTGTTTCAGCAAGACATGACCTTGTGGTTGAGATTTACATTTTGTGTTTCAGCTAGACCTGATCTTGTGTTTGACGTTCACGTTTGTGTTTCAGCAAGACCTCACCTTGTGTTTGACATTTACGTTTGTGTTTCTGACTGTGTGTTTGACAATTACATTTGTGTTTCAGCGAGACCTGTTCTGGTTCAGCCTCTTCTGTCTGACATTCCTCTACATTATCTTCTACTTCTACTTCTGGCTCATCGTCAGAAACAGCTTCGATGACCTCAACTGGTGAGTATAATACCGTCATGTCACTTGGTACACAAGTATGTTGTGACCTCAACTGGTGAGTGTAATACCTTCATGTCACTTTTTACACAAGCATGTTGTGATGGTCAATGATGTTGATATGAAACTGGTTTGATTTCTACACAAATGTTATAAAAGTCATTAATTTGATATTCCCCTACTACTTAGGCTACTTGTCAGTAGCCCTTGCGGCCTGGTAGAACCAAACTGGCATGAACCCAAACTGGTTCATGCATGCTCATGCTCACACATATCGAATCATAAATGCAGTGAGTGAGTGAGTGAGTGAGTATGGTTTTACGTGACTTTTAGCAATATTCCAGCATTATCACGACCGGAGACGCCAGAAATGGGCTTCACACATTGTACAAATGTGGGGAATTGAACCCGGGTCTTCAGCGTGATGAGCTAACGCTTTAACCACTAGGCTACCCCAGCACCTACTCTAAGGAAGAAGGAACGAGAGAGAAATGTCCACAGCAGAATTGTCTTGACAACCATTGCATGGACTGAAAGCATGCACCTCCACCGCCCCTCATACACGCAGTACTTTGAACATGAAGTCTTCATAACAGGACTTGTTGACCTGGTAAATGCATGTTGTTGTTTCCCATGTACAACACAGAGTGTTGCTCTTTACCTCAATCACAGGACTGTCTGGTCCAGACTTGAATATTTTCACAGACTGTCATCATATAGATGTAATATTGCCTGGTGTAAACAGGATGGAGGAGAGGGGATTGTTGTGTCTTGGAGTCACGCTCGGGGTTCTCTTTTTGGCAGCTTGTCTTGAACCGCGTGGAGCCTTGACAGTACCGTGTGAAGCCTTGACAGTACCGAGTGAAGCCTAGACAGTACCGAGTGAAGCCTTGACAGTACCGAGTGAAGCCTAGACAGTACCGAGTGAAGCCTTGACAGTACTGAGTGAAGCCTTGACAGTACCTGACAGTACCAAGTGAAGCCTTGACAGTACTGAGTGAAGCCTTGACAGTACTGAGTGAAGCCTTGACAGTACCGAGTGAAGCCTTGACAGTACTGAGTGAAGCCTTGACAGTACCGAGTGAAGCCTTGACAGTTACCGAGTGAAGCCTTGACAGTACCTAGGGAAGCCTTGACAGAACTGAGTGAAGCCTTGACAGTACCGGTGAAGCTTGACAGTACCGAGTGAAGCCTTGACAGTACCTGAGCCTTGTACCTAGTGAGTGAAGCCTTGACAGTACAGTACCTGACAGTACCGAGTGAAGCCTTGACAGTACCGAGTGAAGCCTTGACAGTACCGAGTGAAGCCTTGACAGTACCGAGTGAAGCCTTGACAGTACCTGACAGTGCAGAGTGGAGCCTTGACAGTACCGAGTGAAGCCTTGACAGTACCCGAGTGTACCTTGACACAGTACCGAGTGAAGCCTTGACAGACACCTGAGTGAAGCCTTGACAGTACTGAGTGAAGCCTTGACAGTACTGAGTGAAGCCTTGACAGTACCGAGTGAAGCCTTGACAGTACCGAGTGAAGCCTTGACAGTACTGAGTGAAGCCTTGACAGTACTGAGTGAAGCCTAGACAGTACCGAGTGAAGTGAAGCCTACTGAGTGAAGACAGTACTGTACCGAGTGAAGCCTTGACAGTACCGAGTGAAGCCTTGACAGTACTGAGTGAAGCCTAGACAGTACCGAGTGAAGCCTTGACAGTACCGAGTGAAGCCTTGACAGTACCGAGTGAAGCCTAGACAGTACCGAGTGAAGCCTTGACAGTACCGAGTGAAGCCTTGACAGTACCGAGTGAAGCCTAGACAGTACCGAGTGAAGCCTAGACAGTACTGAGTGAAGCTTAGACAGTACTGAGTGGAGCCTTGACAGTACCGAGTGAAATCTTGATGGTTCCAGGTGAAGGCTACTCTCTATGTGGTTTCTGAATTCAGGCATGTTTGGGCTGCTGTCAAGATTATCAGGGTTTCACTGTAACCATAGCTTTTTGTTTCAGGCACATGTTTGGACTCCTGCGGACATGGGTTCCATGGTACAGGATCATCCTGGGTCTCACCTGCGCCGTGTTTGCCTACTTCATCATAGTCATGGTGGGTACCGACAGTGAACTGACTGCCACGTCACTGCTACTGCCCTTACATTAGGTTGTAATGGCCTAAAGCTGTGAGATTTGAGCACGTGGGTATTTTGGTGCCTGAATACTCACCTTATTGATATTCAGGTTTGATTTCCCTTGTGAGGTCCAATGCTGAGGTCAGACTTGGTGCTGTGACTGGAATACTGGAGGCAAAGTTTCACATGATCTGCAAATATTTGCAAGTTTCTACTTGTCGTGGGTTTGAATCCCAGATTCAATTCAAATAAGAACTTTGGTTTGTAAACACCATACCTGTGTTTCATTAGGCTTGTCAGCATCTCTCACCTTTGCCATATAAAGCTCTGCTCATACCTGAAGCTGACACACTGTAAAGTTAATAAAGTACAGACTTGTTAAACACGCTCCCTTCCCTTATCCTTGTCATAAGAGGCGACTAACTGGATCGGGTGTTCAGCCTTGCTGACTTGGTTGACACATGTCATCATATCCCGGTTGCGTAGATCAAAGTTCATGATGTTCATCACTGGATTTTGTCTGGTCCAGGAATGATAATTTACAGACTGCCACCAGATAGCTGGAATATTGCTGAGCATGGCATTAAACAACAAACTAACAATATACTAATATTTCCAGCTTACATGCTGAGAGTAGATATTTTTAATCATAGCTTCAAGTCTACCCCTTTGAGTTTGATCCCACCTTTACAGATGATCTTGTGCTGTTCTCTGACTGTTGTGTAATGCTGTGCTTGCAGTGCCTGGTGCTGTGCCACGTCCTGCACGGCCACCAACTCTACATCCACCCAGTCCACATCGCTGTCATCATCTTCAGCCTGCTAGGCTGTGTCGCTGTCACGGTTGCCGTGGAAATGATGTGGCAGTCTGAATGGACGCTAGTATTACTCTCTCTTAGGGTGAGTTCCCCTCGTCACTTCCACATTAGTTCCAGATCTTTATTACCCACGTGGTCAATGTATGGTAAGTTGCATACTGATCTCGTACGTCACAAGAGTGTCGTATCACGTTGACCTGTGTCTTAACGACTTGACCGGAGATTCTAACGATTTGATTAGATAACCGATGACCTCTCAATTAGGTCACATTGTGACGGAAGTACTTTTTCATTCATTGCAAACAAGTGAATTCATTCATTCTACAACTTGTATGCATTGTTGGGAATGTAAACATTGCGAACGTTGTCGTGTTGTTATTTAATTGTGAGTCCAACTGAGACATATCCATCGAAAATCTTAAACGCAAAGTTTCCACCAGTGATGTTTCCCGAGTGAAGCAACTGCAAACCAAGAAACGGGGTGCTACGGAGTAGTTTAATGTTGGAGGCTGTACGAGGCGATGACAACTGACATGCATCGGGACGTAGGTTACCAAGGGGGCAGACGAGCAAGGCGTAGTGGCGTCATTACAGTGTGACGTCATGCAAAAAGTGTACTACAGAACAAAATTATTCTGCAACCTTTTTATGAAACCATAAAAATAACAAAAATAAGCTATTTCGTCAATTTAATGCATGTAAGACATGGGTAATAAATAAAATACCACACTCGGTCTCATAACATACGAATTATACAAAACTCGTGACCTTCCTATGGTTTCTGACCTCGTTTTCGCTCGGTCAGGTACCATAGGAAGGACACTTGTTTCGTATAATTCATATGTTATGCGACAGAGTGTAGTATTCTCTATATATTCTCCCTCAAAGACATCATATGATAATGCCACCCTTCTTGCAATAATTTTTCCATCTGTGATTTTTTAATTCTTCTAGCCAGTAACTGTTGATCCTGAGATATTTGCCCTAAATCTGATTTGTATCATCCCACTGGGGTTCACATAGTCACGAAAGTTAAAAAAAAAGCTCTGCCTTTGGACTTGCTGTGATATAATTGAAATATCGGTCAAAGTGATGTTGACCCTTTGGCATCAGCCTATACTTGCCGGGCTAATGGGATCATGCTCTGTGAACCAGCCTATGCTTGCCCGGCTAATGGGATCAGCTCTGTGAACCAGCCTATGCTTGCCCGGCTAATGGGATCAAGCTCTGTGAACTAGCCTATGCTTGCCCGGCTAATGGGATCAAGCTCTGTGAACCAGCGTATACCTGCCTGGCTAATGGGATCAAACTCTGTGAACCAGCCTGTACTAGCCTGGCTAATAGGATCAGGCTCTGTGAACCAGCCTATACTCGCCCAGCTAATGGGATCAAGCTCTGTGAATTCATTGATGCCTGTCATCATGTCCCAATTACGACTCAATGCTCATGATGTCAATCACTTTATAGTCTGTCCAGACTCACTTGTTTACAGACCCCCGTCACATAGCTGGAACAAATGTTGCTGACTCCAAACAAACAAAGCCTGACAATAACCTACTCAGTAACTCACAATAACCTACTCAGTAACTCACAATTACCTTCTCAGTAACTCACAATAACCTACTCAGTAACTCACAATAACCTACTCGGTAACTCACAATAACCTACTCAGTAACTCACAATAACCTACTCAGTAACTCACAATAACCTACTCAGTAACTCACAATTACCTACTCAGTAACTCACAATAACCTACTCAGTAACTCACAATAACCTACTCAGTAACTCACAATAACCTACTCAGTAACTCAAAATAACCTACTCAGTAACTCACAATAACCTACTCAGTAACTCACAATAACCTGCTCAGTAACTCACAATAACCTGCTCGGTAACTCACAATAACCTCTCCGTAACTCACAATAACCTGCTCAGCAACTCACAATAACCTGCTCAGCAACTCACAATAACCTGCTCCGGTAACTCACAATAGCCTGCTCAGTAACTCACAATAACCTACTCAGTAACTCACAATAACCTGCTCAGTAACTCACAATTACCTGCTCAGTAACTCACAATAACCTGCTCAGTAACTCACAATAACCTACTCGGTAACTCACAATTACCTGCTCGGTAACTCACAATAACCTACTCAGTAACTCACAATAACCTACTCAGTAACTCACAATAACCTACTCAGTAACTCAAAATAACCTACTCAGTAACTCACAATAACCTACTCAGTAACTCACAATAACCTACTCAGTAACTCACAATAACCTACTCAGTAACTCACAATAACCTACTCAGTAACTCACAATAACCTACTCGGTAACTCACAATAACCTACTCCGTAACTCACAATAACCTACTCAGCAACTCACAATAACCTACTCAGTAACTCACAATAACCTTCTCAGTAACTCGCAATTACCTACTCAGTAACTCACAATAACCTACTCAGTAACTCACAATAACCTACTCGGTAACTCACAATAACCTACTCGGTAACTCACAATAACCTACTCGGTAACTCACAATAACCTACTCGGTAACTCACAATAACCTACTCAGTAACTCACAATAACCTACTCAGTAACTCACAATAACCTACTCAGTAACTCACAATTACCTTCTCAGTAACTCACAATAACCTACTCAGTAACTCACAATAACCTACTCAGTAACTCACAATAACCTACTCAGTAACTCACAGTCACAATAACCTACTCAGTAACTCACAACTACCTACTCAGTAACTCACAATAACCTACTCAGTAACTCACAATAACCTACTCGGTAACTCACAATAACCTACTCGGTAACTCACAATAACCTACTCGGTAACTCACAATAACCTACTCGGTAACTCACAATGAGGACCATGGAATTTTTGTATTTGAGGTTTAGGTACACCTACAGAATACTGGATACCTACCTGCCATATTGTTTAATGTCATGTCACCCTAACCCTAAACCTATGCCTAAACCTTACCCTAACCCTAACCCTAACCTCAACCCTAAACCTTACCCTAACCCTAAGTAAATTTGCATGCTTTCAAAGATGGCGGAAGGTATCCGGTATTCTGTAGTTTTACTGAGGTTTACACTTAGATGGGGGCCCAATGGTGTACTGAATCTTACTAAAGTTTCTCTGACAATTATGAAGAGTGTGGATGAATGTAAGTAATTGTTGTGATGGTGCTTTACAGTACTGCATGTGGACAGTCTGCTCTGTTCTGTGTTGCAGTTACAGTACTGCATGTGAACAGTCTCCTCTGTTCTGTGTTGCAGATTACGGGTCCCTTCCTCCAGATAGGAGCAGTTGTGCTGATGACTCTCATGACATGGATTATCTCCCTTCAGTGGTTTAAACTCTCACATTGGGGTAAGGCACTTCTGTTGACACTGCTTAGAACACCACTCAAAAGCAAACTCATGGTTCAGAAAGATGATAGTCAGATTAGTCTCTTAACCTCGTGATGTCAGAATCTCTTATGTAGCGCTATGAGCAGACACTTTGTGTCTGGATTTGGTGCATTATAAATATACTTATTATTATATTACTATTATTCATTTAGGGAGGTCCGGTAAGGGTTAGGTGTCTTGTACCAAGTAATCAAGTCCCACTGTGCTACCACAAGAGGTCTGTAAGGGTTGAGTGTCTTATACCATGTAATCAAGTCCCACTGTGCTACCACAAGAGGTCTGTAAGGCTTGAGTGTCTTATACCATGTAATCAAGTCCCACTGTGCTACCACAAGAAGTCTGTAAGGGTTGAGTGTCTTCATGCCCAAGTAATCAAGTCCCACTGTGCTACCACAAGAGGTCTGTAAGGGTTGAGTGTCTTATACCAAGTAATCAAGTCCCACTGTGCTACCACAAGAGGTCTGTAAGGGTTGAGTGTCTTATACCAAGTAATCAAGTCCCACTGTGCTACCACAAGAGGTCTGTAAGGACTGAGTGACTTCATGCCCAAGTAACAGAATAAAACCATACCACGACTAACATTTGTTTTCTGAGATTTAGATGTGAACTAATTAAGTTCAAATGATGCAACTAACAAGAATGGGTGGTCAATCTCGCTGGCGTGGTTGACACATGTCATCGTTCCCAATGTGCAGATCCATGCACATGCTGTTTATCACTGGATTATCTGGTCCAGACTTAATTATTTACAGACCGTGTAGCCATATAGCTGGAATATTGCTGAGTCGCGTTAAGCAACAAACAAGCGGACCAACACACTTTACTTACATTGAAATACATGAAGGTTTGTGATGAAGTGTTGTGAAAGCGTTGCAATATATCAATGCTATTGCTACATTCTATCTTTTGAGGCCCACAAACTGTTCAAGGAAGTATGCAACCATGTTGAGTGATGGCGAACAGTGATGGAAGCTGACAGTGTATTAGATTAATGTGGTATAGTTGAGTTTTGGACCTGTAGTTTACAGTGTTTCGCAACTGTTTTGATAATGTTTGTAATTGAATGATCAAATCCAAGTTTCAAGTGTATACTTTCTATTGCTTGACAGTCTTATTTACTGACACAAGTCATTGGTCACTTTCTGCCTACATGTGCTCTTCATGTGCCACACCCACTCGACATTAATACGTTCTGTGTAACCCCATCAGATTGTTTGCTGAAGCAGCGATGACAAAAATCATTATATATACAAGTGTCGGATTAGCGAGAGTTGACTGTATACCATCTGTTGTTTTCTTTTTTTTAAATGGATCAAAGGTTCAGGGCGTCTGCTGTTGTTTTTAATGTTTCACAGTTATCACATGTGAGGTTGTCTTTAACAAGGGTTATCTCCCTTTACAGGCTATTAATGGCCTCATTAGCTGTGTGCCCTCTGACCTGTGAGTGTGATGAGAGGAGGGCAAGCGGTGCTCATTTCACAGATGTGTCTCATTATGTTCACTGTTAGCCACGTAATGAGACAACTGATTCAACTCGTTGTGGAGGCTCGGCATCTCACTTTCACAGGAATTGTTAACACCCTGAAACTATTAAAAAAATATTTGATGGAACAATTATTCAAATAAGCTGGGTTTTTATTCATTTTCGCACATGAACAACCTTTGAAATTCATACTGGACTACTAAATTGTGCAGAGCAGGAAGAAAAAGTGTGATGATGGTGGTCCATGCAACTAACACTTCACCTCTGAATATATACAATTTGATAGAAGCAATAACTCCCTTTTTATCAAAAAGGAGCCTGTGGGAAATGAACCTGAGGCAGTGTTCACAAATAACGTCTGACCCACTGACAAATCAGGCAGATTAAGCAGGCGGTCCAGTGGAAGTGGCCACAATGTCCGACTTGTATATTTCCTGTGACTTTGACTGAAGTCAAGGGCTGGGCAGAAGGAAATCAATATGGTTCAGGGACTGTATGACTAGTAATCAATTGACACAGCATCTGAGGGTTATACTGAACCAGTTCTGAATGCTCAGTTTTGCTACAAATTAGAACTAAATAAAACTGATGGAATATGTACACATTGTAAACAGTTTTGTTTCAATCAACAGTACTTCCTACAATGTCGGGCAACTATTAAGAATACTTCATTAGTCCTTGTGACTAGTCTTAGGGAGAAATAAACACTATAGTGTTCTACATTATTGTACAAACATCTCAAACGTGTATATGTTTCTCTGTCCTCACACAGTGTTAGAACCTACACCGAAACATCGCTCTCGAGGTTGTTCACAAATATAGTGTTATCCTTCCTTAATACTGCAGTGTTCAATATAGGGGGCATTTCCTATTGTTCCTGAATCCAAGACACCCTTTAGTCTGTATCTTCAACATCTCCTACAAGGACCCTTGACTTCCATGCTTTAAAGGTCTCAACACAAGCCATGGGTCACTTTCTGCCTACATGTGCTCTCAATGTGCCACGCCCACTCCGTGTTATGTGACTTGAGTGTAACCCCACAGATGTTGATTGCTAAGTCAGGTCTGGGGGTCTGATGGTGCCCTTAACGTGAGAGTTATTGCTCCTTCACACACAGCTAATTGTCATTGACATATATTGACATGCAAATGTCATCAGGTTTCAGATCTACATAGGATGTTGTGAGAGGTTTTGGCCTCAGTTCGTGACTTGAATGTGATACCTGCTCATGAGTTTAAATCATGTTAGTACGGAAGAGTCACTTAACTCAAATTAGAAAAGAATAAGTTGTCACTGACCCAGGATTGCATTTTTCAGGCTGCTACACTTAAACACAAAATATGTACAACTGTTACACACCTACATGTCTGAACCGTATTGGATGATTCCAGGCTGGAGTTGCCCAGCAATCATTGTAAGGTCAGGCTTGATGACTGGGATGGACTATCAGTCTCTGAAATGAACATATTTTGCAGAAAAATACTGTTCATAAAAATAATCTTCAAATAAAATGAAAAGGAGCCTAGGATTGCCACATATTCTAGATTTGCATGGGCTTTCTTGGATATATTTGTTTCAGGGTCAGTATGACAGACTATGACTGGGGTTATGCAGGTTTTAACTTAATCTCTGTATACTATTTTCAAGGGTTCTTACAGGAAATATGAGTGTCCCCGAAACTAAGGGGTGTAGTGTGCTCGTTTGTAGGAATGTATAATTACTTTGATAACAGGACCTTTAATTTTGTTGTCAAGAATTTGGTGCAGTGAATATCATTGTACATCCCTCGGGATGCAGCGTATCATTGTACATCCCTCGGGATGCAGCATATCATTGTACGTCCCTCGGTATGCAGCATATCATTGTACATCCCTCGGGATGCAGCATATCATTGTATCTCTCCAGCGTCCCTCGGGATGCAGCATATCATTATCGTCCCCTTGGGATGCAGCATATCATTGTACGTCCCTCGGGATGCAGCGTATCCCTCGGGATGCAGCATATCATTGTACATCCCTCGGGATGCAGCATATCATTAATGCGTCCTCGGGATGCAGCATATCATTATACGTCCCTCGGGATGCAGCATATCATTGTACGTCCCTCGGGATGCAGCATATCATTGTACGTCCCTCGGGATGCAGCATATCATTGTACCTCCCTCGGGATGCAGCATATCATTGTACATCCCTCGGGATGCAGGTGTATCCCTCGGGATGCGTCCTCTCGGGATGCAGCGTATCATTGTACGTCCCTCGGGATGCAGCATATCATTGTACGTCCCTCGGGATGCAGCATATCATTTCTGTGTCTATTCTTAACATTTTGATTCTCTGGACAAATTTGTGCCAAGAAAAACCCTGGTTTGTTGCATTGATCGTAGGTCACGACTCATAATGTCAGTCACTGAACTGATGTTGACACTTTTCCTTCTCCCTTTACTGAGTGGGGGCGGTGGGGGTGTAGAGTGGTGGTTCGAATCCCCACATGGGCACAATGTGTGAAGCCCATTTCTGGTGTCCCCAGCTGTGATATTGCTGGAATATTGCTAAAAGCGATCACTTTACTGAGTGCCTCTCTGTTTCAGCGTTGAAGCTGTTGTGGCTGACCATGTATGTTGCTGTGATGATAGGACTGTACATATCACCTTAAGCAACTCTCCGTGTATTATCACTCATGCCGATGACTTGCCTAGCAAACCCTGATACTGGCCCACCGAGGGCATCAGAGGTTAGTAGTGCAAATCTGGAGGCTTCTCTTATAGTCGATACACTCCCATAGCATCCCGCGACATATGCTGGCCATAACATCACAACATCATCACTCTTATAATGCCCTCTAAGTTGGACATAACATCATAACATCACTCTTATAATGCCCTCTAAGTTGGACATAACATCACGACATCACTCTTATAATGCCCTCTAAGTTGGACATAACATCATAACATCACTCTTATAATGCCCTCTAAGTTGGACATAACATCATGACATCACTCTTATAATGCCCTCTAAGTTGGCCATAACATCCCGTGACATCCACTCTTATAATGCCCTCTAAGTTGGACATAACATCATGACATCACTCTTATAATGCCCTCTAAGTTGGACATAACATCGCTGACATCACTCTTATAATGCCCTCTAAGTTGGACATAACATCATGACATCACTCTTATAATGCCCTCTAAGTTGGACATAACATCGCTTAACATCCTCTTATAATGCCCTCTAAGTTGGACATAACATCGCTTGACATCTCTTATAATGCCCTCTAAGTTGGACATAACATCATAATGCCCTCTAACATCATCACTCTTATAATGCCCTCTAAGTTGGACATAACATCATGACATCACTCTTATAATGCCCTCTAAGTTGGACATAACATCCTTAACATCACTCTTATAATGCCCTCTAAGTTGGACATAACATCATGACATCACTCTTATAATGCCCTCTAAGTTGGACATAACATCCTAACATCACTCTTATAATGCCCTCTAAGTTGGACATAACATCATAACATCACTCTTATAATGCCCTCTAAGTTGGACATAATAACATCATGACATCACTCATCACTATAATGCCCCCTCTAAGTTGGACATAACATCATGACATCACTCTTATAATGCCCTCTAAGTTGGACATAACATCATCTTAACATCACTCTTATAATGCCCTCTAAGTTGGACATAACATCATAACATCACTCTTATAATGCCCTCTAAGTTGGACATAACATCATAACATCACTCTTATAATGCCCTCTAAGTTGGACATAACATCATGACATCACTCTTATAATGCCCTCTAAGTTGGACATAACATCATGACATCACTCTTATAATGCCCTCTAAGTTGGACCATAACATCATGACATCACTCTTATAATGCCCTCTAAGTTGGACATAACATCCGCGACATCACTCTTATAATGCCCTCTAAGTTGGACATAACATCATGACATCACTCTTATAATGCCCTCTAAGTTGGACATAACATCATAACATCACTCTTATAATGCCCTCTAAGTTGGACATAACATCATAACATCACTCTTATAATGCTCTCTAAGTTGGACATAACATCATGACATCACTCTTATAATGCCCTCTAAGTTGGACATAACATCATAACATCACTCTTATAATGCCCTCTAAGTTGGACATAACATCATGACATCACTCTTATAATGCCCTCTAAGTTGGACATAACATCATGACATCACTCTTATAATGCCCTCTAAGTTGGACATAACATCATGACATCACTCTTATAATGCCCTCTAAGTTGGACATAACATCATCCTCTAAGTTGGACATATAACATCACTCTTATAATGCCCTCTAAGTTGGACATAACATCATAACATCACTCTTATAATGCCCTCTAAGTTGTCCATAACATCACATCACTCTTATAATGCCCTCTAAGTTGGACATAACATCATGACATCACTCTTATAATGCCCTCTAAGTTGGACATAACATCATGACATCACTCTTATAATGCCCTCTAAGTTGGACATAACATCATGACATCACTCTTATAATGCCCTCTAAGTTGGACATAACATCATGCCCTCTAAGTTGGACCTTAACATCACTCTTATAATGCCCTCTAAGTTGGACATAACATCATAACATCACTCTATAATGCCCTCTAAGTTGGACATAACATCATAACATCACTCTTATAATGCCCTCTAAGTTGGACATAACATCATGACATCACTCTTATAATGCCCTCTAAGTTGGACATAACATCATAACATCCACTCTTATAATGCCCTCTAAGTTGGACATAACATCATAACATCACTCTTATAATGCCCTCTAAGTTGGACATAACATCATTCAACATCACTCTTATAATGCCCTCTAAGTTGGACATAACATCATAACATCACTCTTATAATGCCCTCTAAGTTGGACATAACATCATAACATCACTCTTATAATGCCCTCTAAGTTGGACATAACATCATAACATCACTCTTATAATGCCCTCTAAGTTGGACATAACATCATAACATCACTCTTATAATGC